AAGATAATATAATGTGAAAAGCTACGTAACAGAAATAAGCAAAGAGCCTATTCAAGGAGGGGAAATCACATGAATGGGGGTGGTAGATAAGAAGGTTGGGTGGCATTAGGAATAATGATATGACATCTGAGCTACCTTATGCCTCCAAACACACATGCCCCAGTGCTTCTGGCTTTGTACACTCTCTGCCTGGGAACAGCCTAACTCACTCTATCCTCTGCCTGATTTTTCTATTTATCCTTTTAGACTTGGCTGAATAACCCAGGTAAATATCTTCAACTGAATGAAGATGACTAACCAAAGAATGAAATATGAGTAATTACACTTTGTGATGATTTACATAATTTAGAAAATACCCCTCCCAGGACTACAACTCCCATTCTGTAAATGGAAAATGTGATTTTTAAAAATTTGCTTTTCAAGGAAGTATCTACCAAGAATCATAACGTTCATAATCTTTTATCAAACAGTCATAATCCAGAAATTTTTCCTCAAACTATAACAGAACAGAATAAAACTACTACATATACGAAGGTATATACTATAATGTTATCTAGAATGGCAAAAACCGCTGCACAAAAGGTATAGTGACATACCACAGGCGAACACTGACAGAAAATGTAAAGACATAAAAAATGTGACATTAAGTAGGGATATAGACACACACACACACACACACACACACATACACAAAATGCTATGATGACATTCATATCAAAATATAGATGAATATGGGTGAAAAGTGTAAAGTAACAGGCAAAAAAGGAATACAATGACAGACACACAGCTAATTTTAAAAACAATTAAATACTTTTATTATATACTTTTAAACATACAGAAAATAGAAAAAAATAGTACAGTGAACATCCATATACACACCAGTTAGTCATTAACATTTTGCCATTTATGCTTCACACACATACATTTTGCTAAACCATTTTAAAATATTTTAGAGACACTGTAACACTTCATTCCGAAAATATTTCAGTATGCAAATTAAAACATTCTTCTATAAACTACAACACCCTTCTCACAGCCCATACAACTAGCAAGAATTATCTAATATCATTTAAAATCTAGTCCATATTCAAATTTTCTCAATCTCCCTCACCCCAAGACAAATGGTTTTACAGACCAGGGTCCAATCAAAGATTCCACATTGCATTTGGTTATTATGTCTCTTAAGTAATTTTTAATCTAGAATAATTAACCATTCCACCTCGCTTTTTCTTTTCCAACACTGATATTTTGAAGGAATGAGGCCAGTTATCTTCTACGGCATTCCACATTTTGGACCCGTGTGATCGTTTCTTTAGTGGTGCCATTTAACTTGTTGCTCTATCCCCAGTATTTCCTGCAAATGGGAAATTAGATCTAAAGGCTTGACTAAATTTCAGTTAAAATTTTTTGATGAGGATGCTTCATAGGTAACACAGTGTACTTCATACGGCATCACAAAATAAAAAAAACCCGCCTGATTATCTGACTACCAGTGATGCAAAATGTAATCAGATCCTAACGATCTCTTTATTGTAAAAGTATGTTTTTTCCATACAACCAACCAGCAAGTATTTGGTGACATGACATTTTGACACCAGGAGAATTTTAGAGGGGATGTAGATCTCAATCTTTTATCTAATCTTTGACATCAAAATGTCTTTAATGTTGTTTTACATTAACCTTTCAACTATGTAACATTTCAAATTTTTAAAACATTACATAGTTGTTTTCCACAAAATTTATACAAAAATAAGATTAACTTTCATAATGATGGCAGACTTACTCCTTAATTGGAATGTGAGCACCTTCCTTCTTTTTGATTTTGTCTGAAACCCTATAAGGAAAATGAAGGACAGGAAGTTAAAAGAATAACATATATATTATATACAAATGCTGATAAACATTTTCTTTCACATAAGACATTTTACTAATTTTATTTAACAAAATACGTTCAAAATGTAAGTTTACAGCCTTCCAATATGCTTTAAAAATGATCACCAAATGAATAATTGTTAGGCTGCAATTAAGAAGTTTTTCTTCCTTCACTAAGTTCAGTGATGTTCCTAAGCCCACTTATACCTTATTTTCATCAAATAAAATATATGACATAAACTTGTGTCATACTCATTAATTAAAATAAAACCATTAAAGACCAGTAGTTGGCTGGGTGCAGTGGCTCATGCCTGTAATCCTAACACTTTGAGAGGCTGAGGCAGGAGGACTGATTGAGGATGTAGAGAAATAAGGAGGTTCATAAACTATTCGTGGGAATGTAAAATGATACAGCCACTTTGGAAAACAGTTTGACAGTTTCTCAAAAAGTTAAACAGATTTTACCATAAGAGCCAATAATTACACCCCTAGGTATATACTCAAGAGAACTGAAAACATGTCCACAACAAAATTTTACACGGAAGTGTTTATAACAGCATTATTCATGATAGCCCCAAAGAGGAAACAACCCAAATGTCCATCTGGATAAACAAAACGTAGTATATCCATATGATGAAATATCACTCAGCAATTAAAGATATAAAGTGCTAATATATGGTTCAACATGAATGAACCTTGAGAAACTTATGCTAAGTAAAAGAATCCAGGCACAAATGGCCACATAGTGTATGATTCCATTTATATGAAATATCCAGAATAGGCAAATCCATATAAAGTAAATTAGTGGCTGTCAAGGCCTGGGAAGAGAGGGTCTAAGGGAGTGATTGCTAATGGGTATGGGGTTTCTTTGTGGGTAATGAAAATGTTCTGGAATTAGATAGTGGTGGTGGTTGTACAATATGGCAAATATAATAAAAGCCACCAACTACACACTTTAAAAGGGTTAATTGTAAGGCATGTGAATTCTATCTCAAATTTTTAAAAACAGAAATGATGTTGTCTTGAATGAAGTAGTAGCAGAAGAGAGGAGGCTAAGTACACTGATTCAGTATCTACATGGAAAAAATCAACAAGACTTTCTTACAGATTGGATGTAGCAAGTGAGGGAAAGTGAGGAATCAAGGCTAACTCTGCTTAAACAACTTGTGCTGCTAGTACACATGATATTGCTAACTGAGATGTAAGAGGCTATGGGAATATGGGTGCACGGACTGACACCAAGAGTTTTGTTCTGGGTGCATTTAGTTTGAGATGTCATTAAAGTGGGAAATTCATCATATATAAAAATATACCACAGTTACACAACAGCTGAAGAGATTTTAAGTATTAAGGGGGGCATGCACAGATGATACACTTAAAATTACACCTTCAAGTCAGTTGTTTCTTTTCTTCTATATTAATTAACTAAAAATTCAAGTGCCTATAATATTACATCATAATTTCAGCGTGGCACAATAGTTTCCTTTTAAAAATAATTTTAAAATTTTGCACTAAAATATAACAGAACATGTCTGTAGTAGACTAAGGTGTAAAATGACAAGTTTGAAGCCTCAGTCACCGAGGTCTAATTTGGTACATATTACCTCAGACTTTTTTCTATGCACAAAAAGAATTTCATCTTTCTTTTGCAAAAGATTATACCTTTGTCCATCCCCTACAATTCATTTTATTTCACATGAAAGCAGAAAACTACTGAGATTAAAAATAATTTAGAAAGAATGTTATTTAAATTAAAAAATGTACGCTCAGGCCGGGCGTGGTGGCTCACGCCTGTAACCCTAGCACTCTGGGAGGCCGAGGCGGGTAGATTGCTCAAGGTCAGGAGTTCGAGACCAGCCTGAGCAAGAGCGAGACCCCCGTCTCTACTAAAAATAGAAAGAAATTGGCCAAACAACTAAAAATGGAAAAAATTAGCCGGGCATGGCACATGCCTGTGGTCCCAGCTACTCGGGAGGCCGAGGCAGGAGGATCACTTGAGCCCAGGAGTTTGAGGTTGCTGTGAGCTAGGCTGACGCCACGGTGCTCTAGCCCGGGCAGCAAAGCAAGACTCTGTCTCAAAAAAAAAA